ATTCTCCTATTTTGTTGGGCCCTTTTCTTTATTCCCTTCACATGTTAGCTTTCATCAGGGTCAGCCCTCCAGTCTTTCTGCTCTATATGCTTTCACTTCCATGGTTTTACTAAGTATATCTTGAAATCCACAGAATCTACATTTTCTATTTTGACTTCTCCAACCTCTAGACTCATAAATCCAGTAACTTCCCGGTCATCTACTCTTGGATGTCCTAGAGGCACCTCAGATCATCCCTTCTGCAACACTGAACTCATTATCTTCCTTTTTAAACTTGCTCTTCCAGTAGTAGTGTCTCTCTAGGTTATGACATCATCCTTTACCCCGTAACCCAGGCCAGAAACCTAGGAGTTTTTTATTCAAGTCCTGTCTCTTCCCAAGTCGCACACCCCGCGCCATCAAGTTCTGTTGATTGTACTGTCCGTGTCTCTCTGGGATTTGTCCACTCTTCTTCATCCCCACTGTCCTTACCTTCTTTAGTTCCTAATCTGTAGCAACACAATAGTCTGTCTTACTCAGAACTAGCCCATGGTAACAGTCAACTAAGTGGAGTGTCCGCACTTAGGTGTTGCATTGCTGCTTCGAATTTATTATGCCACAAATTGAATCATCTTTCCCTTCATAACAACCACATCCCTTAACTTTTCCATCCTGTTAACAGCACCTCTAAATACATCAATTTCACCCTCTCCAGTCTCTTGCCCACACCGTAGTCAGAGAGATTATTCTAAAGAGCCAATCTGATCATGTCATTACCTTGCTTAAAATCTCAGCAGCTTCTCATTGCCTCCAGGATCAAGTCCAAAGGGCCCTTTGTGATCAGACTCTCCCCTCCCTCCACCCATTTCTCTGCACCCTGTCTGCTGTTTGGTATGCTACAGCTACTCTCAATTATTATTTTTTCAAGATTTATTTATTTTAGAGAGAGAAAGAGAGTGCACGAGCAGGGGGAGGGCAGAGGGAGAGGAAAAAAAAATCTCCAGCAGACTCCCCGCTGAGTGGGCCCCATCTCATGACCCCAGCAGACCATGACCAAACCAGAAGTCGGACACTCAACTGACTGAGCCATCCACACGCCCCTCAATTATTTTAAGTTCCCAAAACACAATACCTCTAAATCTTTTCACATGCTGTCCTTGCATTTGGAAGACCCCCTTTCCCAATCTAACCCCTTAACATGACCATGTCCTACTACTCCATCAGATTTCAGCTTACAAGCTACTTTCTGTGAGAGGATTTTCCTGACTATTCTTCCACCTCCCAAATTGGTGAGCGCTTTCAGAGCATTTTGTGCTTACCCCATCTTTCCCGTCTTGTATTCTGCCTGCCTACCCGTCTTTATTACATCCCCCTAGAGTCTGTAAGCACCTTGAGGGCAGAAACCATTTCTTAGGCCGCTGTTACATCCCTGAAGGGCTTTACATGCCTTATTTTGTTTAATCAGCACAACCACCCTTTATGGTAGGTACCACATCATTCCTATTTTACAAATAAATAAACTGAAGTAAACAGAGTTTAGGAAACTTGTCCTGAGTTACCAAAATATATCGAAATCAGAATTTAAAACCAGATAGCTTGACACTAGAACCAGTCCATCCCTAGATCCTTCACCTTTAATTTAAAGCCCTTCTCCACACAATTTGGCAGTAACCTACCTAAAACACAGATCCGACCAGGTGTTTTCTCTGCCATCCCCTCAGAGGTCCCTAGGCCTGCCTGCCTGCCATATCCTCTGTAACCTGGCTCCTGCCTGCCTTCTTGGCCTTGGACCAGACACTCCCTAGGACCCAGTACTGCTGCTGAAGCACCACCCAGTCCACACTCTCTCATCCTTGTCTAAGTGTTGGTCTGTCTACCAAAATGCCCCTGATCACCTTATCTTTCTGGAGAAATCCTGCTCCTCTCTCAGAACTTACTCCATGGAAGTATTCCTGATTACTCTTTCCCGAACCCCTTGCAGGCGTTGGAGTGACTCCTGCCTCCACTCTCAGAAGCTGTGTGACTTGGGCAAGTTATTGTTTTAGTTTCCTCACTTGTATGATGGCAGCAGTCTGACTGCCTACTCATAGAACTGCTGTGAGGAATAAATGAGAGGGTGTAAGTTAAGCACTTAGCATGGGGCTTGACACATCCTAAGTACTCAAAACATTCAGCAATTATTTACTCATCCCTGTTTCTCTAGGTAGCTAGGCCTCTACGACCCAAGTTTAACACTACAGTATGGTTTCTTCGTGTGGAAAAAGAAAGCACCCACATATCACTTATATTTTAGCACAGTGCCTGGCATATTTTGGGCTCTTATTAAGTAACTGAACTGGACTATTCATTTATTATTTTTTTAAAGATTTATTTATTTTGAGAGAGAGACAGGGCGGGGGCAAAGGGAGAGGGAAAGTCTTGAGCGAATTCCATGCCAAGCATGGAGCCTGACCTGGGGCTAGATCTCCCGACCTGAGCCGAAACCAAGAGTCAGAGACTTAACCGACTGGGCCACCCAGGTGCCCCTCGAACTGGACTATTTAAGTACTACCCAACTTTCAAGGCCCAGTTCAATTTCCATTTCCACCAGTAATATTTACCTAATGATTACAGCTCTTTGGATTTTCCCTTCTGGGAATTTTTTAAGATTTTATTTATTTATTTGACAGAGAGAGAGAGCACGCACAAGCAGGGGGAGCAGAAGGCAGAGGGAGAGGGAAAAGCAGGCTCCCCGCTGAGCAAGGAGCCCAATGTGGGGCTTGATCCCAGGACCCTGGGATCATGACCTGAGCCAAAGGCAGACCCTTAACCGACTAAGGCGCCCCTGAGATTTTTTTTAAAAAAAGATTTATTTGAGAGAGAGAGAGAAAACCCAAGCGGACTCTGGGCTGAGCATGGAGCCTGACACAGGGCTCAATCTCGTGACCCTAAGATCACGCCCTGAGCCGAAACCAAGAGTTGGTCGCTTAACCGACTATGCCACCCAGGCACCCCTCAGAATTCTTTTACCACAGCCTGATGCGATGCAGTCTTGCATCATATGTACAAGTTTTGTCTCAATGAGGCTTCAAGTTCCTCCAGGGCAGACACCATCTCTTACATTGTCTATCTGCCCAACAATAGCTAATATTTCTAATTGCAAAGTGAGTGTTCAACGGTTACACGTGAATGAACATATTCTTGACCAAGCATGGGAGGCCTCACCTTATCATTAGTAAGTCCCCCATCTCTAAGAAAATTTCAGCTAACAACTCCTCTCCTGACTCTCCTTCCCTTGGCTCTTGGCATTCTGCGTAGAACTACATGAATTTGCATTTATTTGTATGCCTCTGTCACAGCTTAGCTTCCCTTTCCTTGGTCACCCCCCTCAAGGCCCAGCAGAGGGCACTACACACCCGAGGGCTGCTTGCTCACTGCAGATATTCTCAATGGTGGCTCTCCCAAGTTATTTTGCTTTTGCCTGCATTTTCCATGCCAGGCCACATTAGCTTAAAATAAATGCTGCTGGACAAGAATCATGGTGACTTCATCCTTGCGACCCTATATATCAGATGGCTGAGAGGCTTGTCAGCAGAATCATCACTCAGCCATGTTGGGAGGAATGGAAGAACTCTTGACTCCACTCTCTGGAATATGGGCAGGAATCGCCATTTGGAGCAGTGCACAGCAGTCTGTTCTGGTTGCGTGGCCCCGCAGTATGCGAGTGAGAGAGAAGGAATGGCAAGGTTTTACACAATAGAGATTGCCACAGTCCTTTCTTGGCACCCCAGGATTCGTAAGACTACAGCTTAAAACTAAGGACCAGGAAATCCAGGAATAATGGAAAAGTCATATAAAAGCCTAGATACAGGACGCCTGGGTGGCTCAGTTAGTTGAGCATCCGACTCTTGATCTCAGCTCAGGTCCTGAGTTCAAGCCCTCCATGCCCAGCGTGGAACCTTCTTAAAAAAAAAAAAAAAAAAGAAAAAAGAAAGCCTAGATACTATCTCAAGCTCTTCAGCGAACTAACTTTGCCACCTTATAAGTAATTTATTTCTATACTTCAACTTTACCTGTATTAAAAATGAAACTGCACTGAATGATCCCCCCACATTCAGCCTCACTGATCTCACTCCCCAGCTGTATCCACCTGGCAAACATACACTAGGGATGGCATACTCAGAAGTCATGGGATTGGTTGAAGGGGAAGAGGGTTGAGAAGACTCACTAACCCCACCACAGTAAACATTCTACTCATTTGTGTATGTATAGCTCCTTGCTTTGAGTTTATAACTTCTGAAGCATGTGAACTTTTGCATAGCTTTTCTTCCACAAAGGCAATAAACCCCACAAAAGTAGGGAATGTTTTTAATGTATCTCCATACCACTGGCTCACTCAGAAAGGCCAGTGGTTGGGAGGCATCACAATCCCCTGGATAAATCAGGAGAGCGCAAGTCAGTAACATCCTGAGTAGCTGAAAACATATTTGGAAAACTTCTGATTAAGGAGAAAGAATGAGTCAGATACTGAGAACAACATTCCTAGTCCAGTTTAGAAGTGCCCTTCCTCTTCAATAAGATGGAGAGTTCTCTGGAATATCTATGTCTACTGGACCTTGTTTATCTTCCTTGATGCATACTCATTTGAGAAACCAATCACATTTGGGAAAATATAATATACTTGGGCAAAATAGGCAAATAGACTACCACATGTGAATGTTGGTGTGTGTCGGGGAGACAGGCGTGAGTTTGTTGGTAACATTCTTTTCTATAATACATTCACAAGCAGTTTGTAACTTCTTGCAGTCGATGCTTGGGAGGTGGGGAGGAAAGAAGTCACTCTGCCTCCTGCTGGCCACAAGCAGAAAGGCTTGAGTTCCTTTTGGCTTATTACTGGAGGTCACATTTCTCCTTCACAGACATGAGAACTTGTGAAGGAATGGAAGACTGAAAGGGAAAAGGAAGAGTGGGCTTCTCTTTTTTGCTTAGCCTGAACTAAGCTCTAGGTGTTAATGAACTATTTAGATCAAGTTCTTCATTTTGTGAGCCAAAACCTGAGGCTGATGCATCTTCTACATTAGCTACGGAAACAAAAGGATAGACGGGAGTCAGGAAAAGCCCAGATCTATATGCTAACACCCCTATTCGCTCTTCCTGAGTGATGGAAGTGGGGAGCCCAGTCACATCCCCTATTAAGGGCCCCTGTTCCTTAGAACTCAGGGCCCCACACCAGCTTCTCCCCTGAATGGTGTCTTCAGTTTCATTTTCTTCCCTTTCCCCAAACCCCAATAAAACACACCAACTGCTTCAGAATATTTCTGGGTTGTGTTTTTTTGTGGGTCGTCTTCTTTTTTTTTTTATTTCAAATACTGAAAAAGTCTCCTGGGCTCTGTGGGGCTCCCCACGCTCATGGCCCCCTTTCCCCACACTCACTGCCCTTCTCCCCACAGTAAATCTATTTTAAGGACATAACTTTTTTCAATGAACAATTAACATTAATTGTGTTCTCAGCTTGCTCTGCAGAACCAGAGGAGCTGTTTGCATCTGTCATATTTAGACGGACAGTTTCTTTTATCTGACACCAGATCCCCAGCCGCATCCAAGCAAACAAGGCATTTTTCTACAGAGCTGAACTGGAACTCCTCATCTGGAGTCTACTCCACTCCTCCCCCTCACACCCATCCCACACCAGCCACATGGTTAGGAAGGAGGACAGTCAGGCATGTTTTTATCAACTCCAAGCCCTATTTCATATCCCCCCCAAATTTCCCACCCCACCCTCTCAAACACCACACCCGCACCCCACCCACCCCCTCCCATCCCCGCCAGGATTTCACTGAGATTTCTCCCAACAGTTATTTGGAAAAAAGGTAAAACAAAAAAGGTTCAGGGTCTTGGTGCTCAGCCCAAGGGGCCCCATGCGCTGGGACACCGCCGGGCAGGGGCTTCTGCCTCTCCAGCCCACGCCCGAGCCACCTCCTGACCCCTGGCTGCAAAAGCAGGGAGGGGCAGGAGCCAGCACAGGACCCAGGAGGGCAGCATCTCAGGATCTGGCGGAGCCCCGGGCAACATCATTCAACTTGGCCGCTGCGGACGAACACAGAAGAAGAAAGAGAAAACACTGTCAAGTAATAAGGGAAAAAACCCGAAGTTCCATCCCAGTCCCTACCCCGTGACTCTTCCATACCTAACAATCATTAGGCTACCTGGCACAAGCCTGAATCCGATCCGCAGAGTTGGAGAGAGAGAGAGAGACAGAGAGAGGGGAGAGGAGGGGAGGGGGGGAGGGGAGAGGGAGGAGAGGGAGAGACAGGGAGAGACAGGGAGAGAGAGAGAGAGAGAGAGAGAAGGGGGAGAGAGGGAGAAAAGGGAGGAGGGGAAGAGAGAGAAGGAGAGAGGGAGAGAAAATTCCAGTTTTTTTCTAGCTACAAAACAGTGTTCTCTGTCTTTCTGGAGATAGCCATGAAAACAGTACAGAAAATTCTTTAGACAAGATCAAAGTAGTTGGAGGTCTGCAGGGGCTCAGGCTGCCTGGCTCCGAGCAGGCTTGCTTCCACAGGCATGGCACAGGCACGTGCAGCAGCAGGGACTGAGGGGGCACACAGTGATGAGGAGGTGATGGCATGGAAGCCAGGGCCCGACAATACACAGGCTGTTTGAGTGGATTTAATAATCCAGGTTTAATCGAAGCGATTTGGATTTGGATTTGGGAATGAGCCTTCTTGCCATGGAAGTGATGTATTTCATGCTGTGGAAACAGGTGGCAAATACAGAATGTGGCTTGTTTCTTTGTTTTCTTAGCCTTGAAGATGACCAGGTAGAGAGAGAGCGAGCAGGACCAACAGTTTTCTGATTTCTCTATTTCTTCTATTCCTTACTAAAAAACAGACTTGTGACCTCAGTCTTGAGGATTCAAATGACCAATAGAGAAAGCAGCTCAGACAGAAAAGAAAAAAGTACAAAATTCAAGAAGATCGGAGATGAAGAAAACGTACAAAATTATATATATATTTATATATATAATAACATGACATATCTATATACAACATGGCTCGGACAGTTGAGGAAACTATACAAGGATGTTCAGCATTTTCCCCTTCCCACACGGACTTTAGACTAAGGAAGACAGCATGAGGAATGGTGCAAGAAACACAAAAATTATATACAATTACAAGTGACAGTCAAACGAGTCTGGGGGCCAGGGAATCCAGGGATCCTGCTCTCTCCATTCCTTCCTCACCAACTCTCTCCTATCCAATCTGAGCGATAGCCTGAAAAGTGAATGGCCGGTCAGGAAAGAAGTATACACACCTGCCATCACCCCACGTGCGCATCAGCAAGTTCATGGTCATTCTCATCAGGCCAAATGTTTGGCGTATCAGAGTTTATGAGGTGAGAGGGCAAGAGAGGATTATAGAATCTTGCCCTCTTGAACAGTTAGTTCTCCCCCTGGCCCTCTCTGTCCTAACTGGGAGGAGGATTCAGGCCAAGTTAAATAGACTGAAGGTGCTGGCCACCTGAACCCCTCTCCTCTACCTGCTCACGAATCCACATTGCTGCTTCTCATCCCACAGGAGCTGAGTTACTGAGCTCTAGGAAGGCAGAGATTTCTTAGAGATTTCTCTCTCCCTGACCACCTTCCCCCACCAGCTTCCTCCCAGGTGAATCATCTCCTAAGAACCTGCTGCTCTAGCCCAGCCATAGTACCAAGGCCCAGAGGCTGGCTTCAGCTTGTCCCTTTTCTTCTGTTCTCCCTGACATCTGATTACATCTCAAACGTGGGACTCCACCACATGTGCGTGACTGAGCATGTGTCCTCAGGCCCACAGCTGGGCTGCCAGAGCAGATTCTTAGCAGCAAAGGTCCAGACTGGTGGCCAGGAGAGTGGGTGGGGGCAAAGGCACAAGGTTCCATAGAAGCTAGCTTCTTAAAACTTTTTCCTTGACCCTTTAGACCATGATACCTATGAGGCCCTCCTGACTGAATTTATAACTCCCAAATCTCAATGTCCTCTCTCCCCATGTAGTCTTCGAACAGTTCCCCTCTGTAGGCTCACCCACAGGTCTTCCTCGCTTAGTTTTACAATGAATAGCAAAGACTTTTTTTCAGCTGGCAGTTATACGATTTTTTAAAATTTGAATCAATCTATCTACATTCAGCTCTTTTACAGATGAGGAAATAGAAATCCATAGAGGTTAAATGACTTGACCAAGGTTACACATCAGTTCTGCTCAGACAGAGTGCAACTGGAACCCAGATATCTTAACTCCAAACCCAGTGCTCTTTCCACTACCCCATACTTGCAAAAGCAACATGCTGGAAGAGAGAGAGAAGGTGCCCATTTCATGTAAATGATGTTCTCCAATCTTTACATTACTTAAGAGCCAGGGCAAACTGTCAAAGACACTCACTGAGTAAGGGAGGTTAAGTGGGCATTGTAGTTTTAGGCAAGCAAATCACTTTTTCTTTTTGAGGATTCTCTAAACCTGCCATAATGGAAACACGAAGCAATAGCAGCCTAAGGGAAAAAACACTTAGAAGCACAGAAAACAGATCTCATTCAATCTACCTTTCCCAACTATGTCAGGTTAGCCTCTGGATGTAAACCTACCAAATTATTCCCAAGGCTTAGCCTAACCAATTTTGGGATATGCTCTTCCAAAAGGAAAAATCACATCTCCCCAGTTTCTCATACAATAGGAAAAAAAGCGTTTGCAGCATTATCCAATCCTAGTCTCTGACTCCTGGGCCCCTACCTGGGCTACAGTGAGGGTGTGGAAATCTCAATTTAATCAAAGAAATGAACTCAGAACCCCTTTCCAACCCACATCACCTTCTCAGAAGCCCCCAGCAGAATCACAGTCATTTCTGGCTAGCAAGCTGAGAAGAGCTAACTAGGCGCTCATTCCATCCCTGCCTATGATATATAAAAGTCTGGTGGGTGAGGAAGGGGACGGGGGGGAGGGGGCCCAGGTTACCCCGCAAGCTTGCTGGTGACGAGCGAGGACTTTCTCTGGGGCAGATCCTGTGGGGTGGGGATGTGGTCACCAGTCACCAGGTTCTTGTCTGGTCCTGCACTTGGCAGCTGCTTATTCTTCATCTTGGCTTTGGCCATGTTGTAGTCTCCTGAGTCAAAGTACTTTTGCTAAGAGACAAGAGGGATATTTAAGTGAGTGAGGAACTCTGGCCCACCTCAAAAGCAAGGAGACTCATATTTGTTATAAATCCTAATCAACTTAGATCTTTCCAGTGTTCCTTGATTAACCTCATGCACACATAGTTTAGCATTAATTACATGTACTTATGTCTTCTCCCCAATGTGTTCTGACCTTTTCAGGCATGTAAGCAGTTTCTTAGCTACAGTACAAATTTTAGGAGTTAAGAGACAGCCTCTACATCCTTTATACACCCATCAGTACAGGATGGTTCAACCAAATTACTTTACTAAGTAAAGGCTTACTTAGGACCAATCTCCAATGGACTTGGTGCTGAGGAAATAAATGGTAAGATATAAAGAATCGTCAATCTGGGGCTATCCTAGCAACCAGCAGGAAATCAACCTCAAGTCAACAACCTCAAAATTAAAAATGATTCCCTCAGACCATGAATAGAAACTGGGCTTGTTCATGAGGATAATGTACTTTTCCTCTGACCCCCACTGCTCCCACACATGTTCCATGGCTGTGACAGCCTGCCCACGCCTGCCTTGCCTACAGCAAGGTAAACTGCAAATCACCATCACATCATCATCTGTGACTAAGACTCAATAACCAGGACTCTCCACAGGGATCTGTTTTACGGTCCATTTTATCCACACCTAGAAGCACACTCCAGTTTAATGTCTTACAATCCCTCAGTTAGTTTTAGGTACATCTGGGGACAGAGAAACCTGATCAGGAGCTAGATGGCTATGAAGGCAGATCCTCCCTTGGTAAGGAGGACCACTCTGGATGGAAAAATAAGTCTCTTGAGGGAGTATAGTTAATGGCTGGTACTAATTTCAAGGGTCTGAAGAAATCTATTCAAGTTGAAGAAATCTATAGGACAGATGGTTTGATCCTTTTTTTGAAATCATGCACCCCAAAATTTAGCTCTAATCTTAGAAAGTGCAGTCCTAAAACTCCCACCATCCAAACACACAAATGCCTGGAGGCGTCAGCATTTCAGTTTCTAATGTCCTTCTTTCCCTCAATCCCCCAATGCCCCCGTACCCAAATGTCTCAACATTAAGCCTTAATAGCCTGTATGATACCATATCAGGGATTTATAACCATCTGCCTTGCTCTTTACAAGTTTCTAATTCCTCTCTACTACTGCCCAACAACAAAACCTCCAGATAAGCATTCAGGAGAAGCTCTACAGTTCTCATCCCTAAAGCCCCCTTTGGCTCCAAAGTAAAAGGATAAGAGATTGCGTCCCATACCCCTTTCTGGAGTCTCTTCATGAGGAAGTCGGAGCCTCCAGGCTTTTGTCCTAGGCTTGGATATTTGGCCTTTAGCTTTGCTTCCTCGGCTCTCTCAGGGAGAATACCTTCTTTCTCCTGTGTGTCCTGGAGGAAACAAATGGGCCAATTAAATTAAAAACTGAGAAGCAACTGCTTCTAATATCTAATAACTTTTATACTATTAATTTTTCCTAGAGGTCCACCCTCTTGTGAACATACTGTCTCTATTCTGCTCCTAAATATAGCTAGACCGTTGTTCAAATCCCTGAAGCTCAACATGACTGTATTGTGAGGAAAAAACAAAAACAAAAACAAACAAACAAAAAAACAAGCTGCTTCTCACACTACGCCCAAGGAACCACCTCAGTGACTTAGGAGTATTGGGTTTAAAGATAACACCTAAACAAAATACTTCAATCAAGAGCAAACCATAGCTCATTCAGCACAGAAGTTAGGGAAGACAAAGAGAGAAAAGAGCTAACCAGGGCTTCTGGTGACCCAAGATGAATAGGAAAGTTCCCTGGCTGTCCCTAACACACAGTACAGGTCAAACAGAAAATCAAAGGGGATAATTCTACTGAGATGTTCCTTCTTATCCAGAGTCTAAGGTTCCTTCTTATCCAGAGTCATCTGATAAGTCTCTCTCTGGAGAGACTAGAGCTGTGTGGCCTTCTCCAAAAATCTCCACCTTAGTAATGAACAATATCGCTTCAGCATTTCCATAAACATTAGGTAGGAAGGTGACGGGTAAACAGAGATGAAAATGACACTATTTTTAACCTCAGGAAAATCAAGATACAGGAGGTTCACTAGTATTTACCCACAGTTGTTGCCCAAAAGTCAACACCTTCCCAACTGGGGCAAGTGATGGAAGTTTGGGGAACATGCCAAGAGCGTGCAATTGGTTTGCAGGAGGCTCACACTGTTGTTATTACTCTCTTCTTGCTTTTTGTGGCTCTGATGCTCTTGTCTTTGGTGACTTTTTACAAGGACCTAAAGCCAAATTTGTGGCTTTTTTTTTTTTTAATGAATTATATTCCCTTGACAATCCGGCACAGTTATAACCAGGTGCCTTTCATGAATCCCTGAGCCCAGTACTAAATGTTGTAAGTCAACTACAAGCCCCAAGAAGAGGTTTACTTGGGGTGTTTTCATCATAGAATTGTGGGTGAACTAAGTCCCACTGCCTTGGAAGTCGGGGTGGTGGTGGAAAGAGGGTGGCGTCTTTCTTGTCACGACTCTTTTGGTGTCTTTTCTAGGTTTAACCTCCATTATTCTGTATGGAACTCTAGACCTCTTCAAGCCTATTCGTTCGTGCCTGAGGATGGGCAACCGACCATCCCAAAATGTCAAAATAGGTCTCTTGAGAAAGTTGCCGCCTTAAACTAGCCATGATTATAATTACTTCTTCTCCCTTCTCCCAGTGCTGGTCTTTTAAACGTCTTTACCTCCACCCCTATCTTTCTGATGCGGGCCCCAGCCTCGTTGTTGGGTCATTTGCCCCCATTAACCAATAACACACATCGCTTCCCGGTACCACAAGCCCCCTTTCATTCACCCAGTCTTTCCCAACACCCGCCCCGCGCCCAAGCTTGGCCAAAGATAGCACAGCTTCAATGAGTAGAGCGGTGGGCCTATTGGCCAATCAGGAAGAGCACAGCCCTGACTGACAATGGGCCCAACCAATCAGCGCCAGAGCTGCAAGCTGTGTTGAAGCTCACCAGGCGTGATGCAAGAAGTGGCCAACCCCTGCAGAGCTTGAGACCATGGCGACCAATCCGCACTGGTGGGAGACCGTCTTCCGCCCCATCACAGTCGCCCCCGGCTCGCCCGCCCGCACCCCCTCCATTTCACCTGCTTCTCCTCGCCGGTCTCCTCCGCAGGGTTCTCCTCTTCTTGTTTCTGGGACATGGCGGGACCAGGACTGTGGAGTGTAGGGGGCCCGGGAAGTCAACCGGAGAAGGGAAGGGGGAGGGGAAACGGGGACAACCTGCACTGCTTCTTCGGCTCCTGTCACTAGGGTTGCTCAGTCAAAATGGCGGCCCTTGCCTGTGACGTTGTGGCCGCCCCTTCCAATGGGAGCCAATGGGAGCGGGGTAGATGGGGCAATGACGTAACGATCTACCAATAGTCACCGGCTAAAGGTGGGTTCTTTGGAGGCGACGGGCAAGCTGAAACACCAATCTGGAAAGAGAGTGAGCCCAATTGGAAGCCCGTGGGGGGATTTTTAGGGGGCGGCGCTGCTAGCTTTGGCATTTTTGCTCCTTTGGTGGGACCAGATTCCCTCCATCGCTAGCACCCGGTGCCCGGAAGGCAAACTGGAGAGGAAGGCTGGAGATCTTTTATTTTCAGATGGAGAGGGTTAAGCTTTGCGCAGTGTTAGCAGAAAATTATCAATCTCCAGAAAATAATTTGGAGGTCAGAGGGCACCTTAAGTTGGTACAAATTACTATTGCAATGTATGTACTTGGCGTATGGAACGGAGAGACTGGGATCCCAAACCAAGTTGTCTTGCACAGATGGCTTTACGTTCCATTATTTAACGCATCTGTGCAGTTTTATACTTGTTCAGGGTCAGCCCATGGAGAATAAGTTCCTTGAAACGGAAAGCACTGTTCTAGGTACCTGGTAAACGTTTAGTAAATACAGTTAATACTAGTTAACGTATCCTGAGTCACAGTTCAACAATATTTTTTTTTTAAAGATTTTATTCATTTATTTGAGAGAGAGAATGAGAGATAGAGAGCACGAGAGGGAAGAGGGTCAGAGGGAGAAGCAGACTCCCTGCTGAGCAGGGAGCCGGATGTAGGACTCCATCCGGGGACTCCAGGATCATGACCTGAGCCCAAGGCAGTCGCTTAACCAACTGAGCCACCCAGGCGCCCAACAATATTTCTTTGGGTGTTTGTGTGTAGATGGTAAGGTATTAGTTTCACAGGAGTAGGCATAGAGTAAGAGTCTCTGCCTTTTGAAAGCTTAGTTTAGTGGGCATGTGGGGAGGGTTTTCACAGTGTGCCAGGTATAACCTAAATCCACGAGATAAGACTGTAGACATATCTTACGGGAGCGTTAGTCCACAGTTTTTTATTAAAAATAAACATTAGTCTAATACTGATTAACACTGCAAAATTCATAATAAAATTTAATTTTCCAGGCAGCTTCTTGTGACAGCCTTGGGGCTATCTGCTCATTTTTCTGTATAATTAGGTGTACTTCTGGAAAAGTTTGAGAAGCACAGATTATTATAGAAGCAAAATCTGGTGAGCATTGAAATAAAAGTGTTAAAGTGTTTATAGGGGTTCATAGGAAGATTAATTCAGTTTAGATTCCACCCCCCAAAAAAAAGACTTCATGAGGGAGGTGATATTTGAAATAAGTTTTGTTTTTGTTTTTTATTTAAGAGAGAGTGCGGTGGTGGGGGAGGGGAGGGGCAGAGAGAGAATCTTAAGCAGGCTCCAGGCCAGCGCAGAGCCTGAAGTGGAGGGCTCGATCCCATGACCCCAAGTTCATGACCTGAGCTGAAATCGAGTGGGACCCTTAACCAACTGAGCCACCCAGGCACTCCTGAAATAAGTTTTAAAGAACTTAGCAGTTTGCTGGGTAAAGATGAAGGAAGGAAGGAAGGGTATGAAGGGCTCAAAATGAAGGCCAAAAAAACAGAATTGAGTGCAGATATGTAGGGCTTTCAATGCCAGGATAAAGAACTTGTGAATAATTCAGTAATCCATCAGAGACATTTAAGATTTTTAGGCCAGAGAGTGGCAGATCAGAACTGCCCTTTAGGAAGATTAATTTGGAGGTTAATGAATAATAATTCAGAATTCCAGGCAGAAAGACATCAGACACCTGGACCTCTAGCCAGGAGTATACTGCAATATTCCAGGTGGGAGATAATTGGGATTTAAACTAGAAATGTGATAGTTGAGAGTAGAAAACTGTGAACCTAACTGAGAAAGTCTGTGGCAATGGAGTCTATGAGATTCATATCTGTATGAATATAGGGAATGAGGAGGCCATTGGCTTCAGGGTGACTACAGAAAAAATAAATTCAAGAAGAGGAGTCAATTTGGGAATGGAATTGAAAGAACAGAAAATGAGGTGTTCAATTTTGACTTTTTAAAACCAGTGGGACATTTTGTGGAGATATCCAGGCAATGAAGTCTTTATAGACCTCTGAGATCTCCTCCAAAGCTAAAATTTTAGAGGTCTAGGAAATGTAGACGTAGAGTTTGGGAGAAAAGTAGAAGGTAACTATGAATAAAGCTTCTTCACATAAATGTAAATAAAGTTGTGGAAGTAGATGAGATCACCAAAGGAGAAAGAATAAAAGAGCCTCAGGATGGAAACCTGGGCAAAAGTTGGCAAGGGACACAGATACACAGGATCAAAGGGGTAAGGAGAAGAACCAGGAGAAAAGTGACAGAGAAATTAAAAGATGGAGAGGACAGGGGCACCTGTTGACTCAGCTGGTTAAGCACCCAAGTCTTGATTTCACTTGGGTTGTGATCTTGGGGTCCTGGGATCAGGCCCTGAGTCACCCCCCACCCCCACCTGCATTGGGCTCTGTGCTCGGCAGGGGGTCTGCTTGAGGATTCTCTTTACCTCTCCCCCTCCCCCCCCCACACCCCCTGTGTGTGTGTGTGTGTGTGTGTGTCCTTGCACAGGCATGTGGTTAAAGAGTGAGGAGGTGGTAACAATATTTTTTTAAAAAATATTTTATTTATTTATTTGAGAGAGAGAATGAGAGAGAGAGAGAGCACATGAGAGGGGGGAGGGTCAGAGGGAGAAGCAGACTCCCCGCTGAGCGGGAAGCCTGACGCAGGACTCGATCCCAGGACTCCAGGATCATGACCTGAGCCAAAGGCAGTCGCTTAACCAACTGAGCCACCCAGGCACCCAGTGATAACAATATTTAACAATAAAGCAAAGAAGGGCATCAGGGCAATGAATTGAAGAGGAAGCAGCAGAGGATTTTCTTTTTTGGAAAACAGGAAAGATTCAAGCATGTTTTCAGAAAGGGCAAGGGGCTAATTGAGAGAAAATAAAAATGTAATTACCCATTTTTAAAGAGGAGATAATGAAAGAATTAAAGTCTCAGAGGAGATCATTAGATCAAGAGGGAGAGAGGCGGACAGGTTAGAGGAGAAATGTACAGAGAGATTTTGAAGTAGCTAAACATTTAGGGAAGTCACATTGAATGGCCTTGCTTTTCTGAGGTCAATCTTTTGAGAATAAAAAGGATGGTGGGGTGGGATAGAGAATCTAGGAAAAATGGGGGTGGAAACAGCACTATAGAAAATAGCAATGGTTCAAAATAGCAAGAAAGATCTGAGATTAGATGGGTATGGATTTGTAATAGTCCTAATCACCATGGCTTTGGTCAATAACTCTTGATTGCCTTGGAATGAAGAAAACAGACGTCCTGTTAACAAGGGCAAAAGACTGGAAAAGAAGGAACAGTGGAGGGAGGACAATGAGGAAGTCTAGATTGCTTTGCTGGTTTGTTGAAATAGCTGATCATGGCATCTAGGCTCTTTAGGAAAGACAGAATAGAAAGGAGATGGGGGCACCCGGGTGGCTCAGTCGTTAAGCATCTGCCTTTGGCTCAGGTCATGATCCCAGGGTCCTGGGATCGAGCCCCACATCGGGCTCTCTGCTCAGCGGGAAGCCTGCTTCTCCCTCTCTCACTCTCGTTGCTTGTGTTCCTTCTCTTGCTGTGTCTCTCTCTGTCAAATAAATAAAATCTTAAAAAAAAAAGACAGGAGATGAAGAACTGGTCATGACACAGATGAAGCTCAGATTTGGTGGGAATGACAGGGACAGGCAGAAGAGTAGGAGGTTGCAGTGAGAGGGGAATTTCAGTGTGGATCTAGGAAGGTGGAGAAATTATAGGTTATGATGAGCTCTAGCCTATAATTATAATTGATGGCAGATATGGCATGGCTATAAAGTCACCGACTTTGATGTAATCAAGAAAATGTGAAGTCACAAATGTTGAAGTCTCAGAGGTTAGGAGAGGGTAACTGTGACCCCTATGTTGGGAATGAGCTATAGGTCTCCAACATATATATGTTATTTAAATATGTGAGGCACCACACTGTAATACCTAAAATATTAGCTAAATATCTATGACACTTACTAAGTGAGTTGTATTTGTAAGTGTTTAAAAGAACATTTCTGGCTGAGCTGGTCAAGGAATGTTTCAGACAAGGTAGAACCTAAACTGGGACGATAAGGATGAACAGGAAGGTTGGAGACTGGCAGGGGTGGGGAGGGAGGAAAGGAAGACAACTTAAAGGACCACCTTATCTTATAAAAGGTTAGAGGGTAAGTGAGGACAGTGGAAAAGGGAGACAGAAACTATAGCAAGAGTAACAACTTCCTAGAGCAAGAGCGATCCTACTAGCCCAATCTGTATTTTTGAAAAGTTCCCTAAAGGGAGTCTACAGATAAGGCTGATCTGGGAACCTATGTAGAAGCAGCAAAACATGAAGCTGTTTAGGTTGCTGGGGTCCTGGGGTGACTAGTAAGTCATGCTAAAGTTTTGGGGTTTCATGAAGACAAAGGGGAACCTGATTTCAAGCAGGAAAATGGTATTGTTAGAAGGGATTTGGAAAGATTTAACTGGTAGCTGCGTGAAGAGTGGACTGGAGGGATGGGGGAGGCCAGCTGGACCTCCGACTGTGGTGGCTCAGGGAAGACTCGAGAGGCCTGATCAAAGACAGAGGCCATGTGAATGGAGAGGAGCTGAAGAGACAAAGGATATTGGATGTGGGGAATAAAGATGAGGAGAGAACCAAGGATGAATCCCAGGTTCACGAGTGAAGTGCCACTTACAGAAAAGCAAATCCAAGAAGAGCAGATTGCAGGAAAGGAAGTAGGGAGAGAAGAGGACTTGAACGTCTTACCTTTCAGGGTTTTTCCTTTCCTGTGTCTGAATTTTTCAAGTCAGGACCCAAATCTGTTCACAGAGTATGGAGATGGGATATCTGGGAATGACACTGTAAAATGTGTCAGTGCTTTAGCTACATTCTTCAGAAGAATGGCCACTGAAAAGGAG